TTAATAAAAATAAGCTATTTGATTAACCCTAACCTTACTAACCTAACGTAAACAAGCTCTTAGTATTAGATTGAAAGATTACATTAAGTTTGATTTGAATGTTCCCAACAACACCCACTACCCCTCACAAGCTCGGGAGCGTAAGAGTGTGTGAATAAGATTTACACTAAATTAATTCATTGGGAATCAATTTAGTGTTTGTTAGGTAGTTCAATTCACAAAAGAATTACGGATTTTGCAATTAAATAGCTTGAATGACCTAACCCTAATTCAAATGGCCAATAAGAATTACAATTAGAATCTAACATTCGATTTAAACATAATCAAATTTACTAGATATAATTTGAAAGCAAACATCAAGTCATATGATTGAAATCACAACTAAAAAGTTAAGACATAAAGTTGGAGAAACTAGGGTTCTAGCCATACGTGGCTAGAACAATCAACAAATCGGGAAGAGATGAAATAATTTTTCAAAGAGACTTACAAATCTAATGTCAAAATGTTTCCAAATGATTACAATCATAACTTTGAATGATATTCAAAATCCTATTCTCTTGGAGCTCTGAAAATTAAGTGTGTCTCTGAAATGTCCCAAAATCCCGAAATATGAAAAATAGAAAAAACTGCCAAAAGTTAATTTTTGGGTCGCACATAGACCATGTTGAAATAGGGTAAATCAACACATCATGTGTCGTATGGAAAATGACTTGCCATCCTTAAGAAAGTATGATGCTCAAATTTGCAAAAATGGACCAACACGACCCGTGTCAATATAGGCTAAACTGACACGACCCGTGTTCAGCATGGTCAGTGACTCCTTTTTGGTCAAACACAACCCATGCCCACTTTTTGAGTGCAATTCCAACACGGCCCATGTTCGTCTCTGCTTCCAGGTGCAATCTTGATTTTCCAACTTTTTTCGTTTCGCATCCAATCACTCCGATATCTTCATGCGTGCTTCCCAACACCTCCCAAAACGCGTTCCTACCTCCAAATCACCTGAAAGGAACGTAAAAAATGTGAAAATAAGGTTGTTCTAGTAACTAATACGACTTTTAATGAAATGCATATAAAATGAAGTAAACTACACTAAATAGATGCATAAAGGGACGAAAAGGTGTGCAACAAGGTGAATAAAATGCACCTAACATTTAGTCACTTATGTTTATTTTTGTACACATTTAGTCATTTATGTTTATTTTTGTAGATATTTAGTCACTTATGTTTTTTATTTTGTACACATATGACCATTACGTTTGATGGTCATATGTGTAAAAAAAACATAATTGACTAAATATGTACAAAACAAAACATAAGTGACTAAATGTGTACACAATCTAAACTATGTTACCTTTTTAGTGCATCATCCTAAAATATTCAGACATCACTTCAGTAGTTATAATAAAGTTCTTACAATTGAACCCGATGAGGTTTTATATCTTGAAATTTATTCATAACTGTATCGTTGTCGATACTTTTAAAAAAACTTTTTTTAATATACAACACTAAACTATCACTAAAAAATTGATCATTCATTTTGTTGTGTATATCAGTCGTTATCAAATTCATTGCCGAAAATGCGCGTTTCCCTCTGGCTGTTGCAACAGGTAAGACCAATACAAGTTTCACAATAATATAAACCTTATGAAATATTATATGATTCTTTTCTACGACCATGTTTTTTCAAGGTCTCAATGCTTTTCAAATCATTAAATTGTTCACCTTCTTGCACATTTTTAATATAATTTTCAAGATCCACTTCAATCACCTCCATAAATACATTAACTTGATAGTGGTGCAAGTTGTTAACCTGAAAAACGCATATTTTATAGATTAATAACTAATGAAAAAACACAATAAATTTATAAATCAACTTGGGAGTTGGAAGTAACACATATTAGTAACCTATGAACCTCTTTGGTGACTGATTCCATGAAAAATATGTATCTTCCATATCCATGACTTCAACTTCATATTTATCAAAAACAAAGTAACTTTCCATAAAACTGGTTCCTGTCCTACATCCCTAATTTTGTGAATTGTTTTTTTGATCTACTTATTCGATTCGTGACATTTACAATATCATGGTCTTTTCTTTGTAGTATTGTATTCAAAGGACCCGTGACTTCCAAGATATCAACCATCAAGTGTAGACAAAACACAATATCAAACGATCTTGATGACTTTAAGATGCCAATTGATTCAACTTTACAATCACATTCACTATTATATTTACCAAGGTATTTAAGTACATCACAAATGGAAGAATATACAGTGTGAATATTTAATAAAGATGCAAAATGAGAACCCTGTCAAGTATTAGATGATTGTTTAATACCAACTTCTTGGTTCAAAATGGTACCATTCTCAAACTCACCTAAAATAAACCATATAAGAAGTTAATTAGCATAAAAAAACTGAAAATAGTTACAACTTACAAATAATTAAATAGTCAATTTATTATAAAAAAAAACTTCAAGCAATGATGCCATAACTTTAGCTACTTGTTTTTTTTCTTAAATTATCTCATCGTTTATAAGAATACCCAATAAGATTTAACATCCAAGAAATCACATCAAAGAAATCATTGAGCTTTGTGTGATTTTTTGCAACAAAAACTCTGGCTAAGTGTAACGGATAAGAAAAACAATGAACAAAGTGCACAAATTTTTTCATTCATAATCAAAGTCTTCATCCATTGGATGCACCACTTGTAACATCCCAAAAACTCATGCTAAATTTTTCATTTTTAAAATAATATAGCATTCATTTTCGATAAACTTACATTAAATATAAATCATTTGTTTATAAACCATTAGTCAGAAATCAGAGTTATAATGAAGACAATGTGAAATCTTGATTCATAAAGTTGTTGATGTGTGTGTACAGTCATGCCTTTGCAATCTGATAAGTACCTGCAAAATGTTAAATCCACACCACTAAGCACAAAGTTCAGTGAGTTCCCTAAATATATTATACATCACATCATAATACAAACAACTATGGGCTATCAGCAACCATGGGGATTATCAACAATCCCAATGGGCTAACAACACGTCAGGTGGGTTATTAGCAACCTTGGAGACTATCAGCAGTCTCAATGGGCTAACAACATGCCCAGTGGCTTATCGGCAACCCTAAATAGCACATACAAAAAAAATCAAATATGACTCAGTTGGACAGCATGCACACATATTACCACACAGGTAAGTATAGTGAGAGGACTCACATCTATCGGTAAACGAGTAGATCACACACTCGAGTTGTCGGTGCTAAAGTACCTCCCACTAAATATATCCACAAACCAAAGTCTAATTAGCAATTAAGGTAAATACTCCAACTTAGCAATTCCAAATACCAAGATAAATTCTCATTTGGGAAAAAGACCATTTTTCCTTTCTAAGTCCTCAACCTCTCATAGTTGACCAAACGTCAACGCGTCAAAAAGTCAAGGTCAACTTTCGTTGACCAACGTGCTGCGTACTCCAGCTCTAAGCATGGCATAGAGCCTTATTCCAAAATACGAGGTCCAACCAGCCTACGCGCTACGTAACCTTAAGTACGCCCTACGTACGCCTCCAGATCCAAAACTCCATTTTAAGCACTTAATACATTAATACCTTTCACTCAAAGCTGAGATATGATTCCTACTAGCTCCTTTCACTAAAGCAACTGTTCCAGATCATCAATTGAATCTGAATACAGAGCATTGGGTTATGTAGCTTGTGAAATTATTTGGATTTTAAAACTTTTGTTTGATTTGGGTATTAATGGTTTGACTCCTGTAAAAGTTTTTTGTGACAATGAGTCTGCTATAAAACTTGCATCGAATCCAGTTTTCAATGAGAAAACAAATCATTTTGAAATTGACATGCACTTTGTTAGAGAAAAAATAGCTAATGGAATTTTAAAATTGAAAAAATAGGTTCATCTATACAAAAAACTGATATGTTAACAAAATTTTTAAATATTTCTCAACATAATTTTTTGTTAAATAAAATAGGTTTGGTTAATCCTTTTAACAAAGATTGATATTTTTTCCTTGTCCTTAAATGTCAACTTTGAGGATGGGTTTTAAAAGTATTGGTTTGGTTCAAACTTTCCATTCTTTGGTTTTGCAGGGATTAAATGTAAAATAGTTAAAGGTTGTGTTTGTTATTTATTCTTGTGTTCTGGATTGTTTGTGACATTAGCAGAAAGTGTTGGGTTGCAGTTCACATATCCATTCTTCTTGTCCGGGTTAATACGTGGGTTGAATGATCCATTTACCTGGAATATATAATGTGTTGTTGCAGCTCATTTGGAACATTACACACTCACAAACGTTTCAGAGCACTCTAAAAAACCCTTTCGTTCTTATTCATTGTATAAAGATTAGGGTTTGTGTATTTTCTATTGTGTTCTTCAGTGTTCTTGACCTTCATTATAGAATAGGATGGAGTGACTGTATTGAGAGTAGATTAGGTTGATGTAGTGAGGCTTTCTTTTATAAGTAAGTGAAAACTATCTGTCTATTTATCCTCAAGTGATATAATAGATGATGATGTTGGGAATAGTTGTTTCTACGTTTTTTTTTTCACAATTTTTAGTATTTTATGGATATTTTTTTGCAGTTAGGACAATGTTTTCTTGAGCTAAACATACCGTTCTTTCATGTATAAGCTTTGAGAATCATGGAGCAAAACTTGCATTTCTATTCTTCTATTCAACTCCATCATTGTCTACTATATAGACCACGTCAAAATACTTCCTAACAATTGAATCTCTCTTTCACTTAACAGACTGCCGTTTTCTTTTATTTTGTTTATTCCATGTTGTCTTCTTTTTAGTATTCTCAACAAGATTATCATCATTATACTAAACCCAATCCAACATTCTGACTATATTTAATAAAGACAAAATTACAAATTTGGTCCCTATGGTTTATAAAAATTGACCACTACATGTTTTGTTGAAGAATTTTGGACACGGAGGAGGGGGGTCATTTTTACGTTAAAATGAACACGAGAGGTCATTTTTGCAAAGAGTGTTAACTTTTCCATAAGTCCATGTGAATGACATTTTTCCTTTTCCTACAAGGACAATTTATATAATTTTGTCTATTTTATGATTTAGATTTTTTTTGACTTTTTGTTCGAATATATTGTCTAATGTTTTTTTTATACATATTCTTCGGTTTAATATTTTTGGCCTTTGGTTTGAACATATATATATATATATATATAGTTTTTTGACGTTTTGTTCGAATATATTTTTTCATGTTTTTTTTATATTATGTTTTTTAATATTTTTTAAAGATTTCTTGGCCAATATAATAATAATTGGTAAGATAATTCACTTACAATCATGTTTTCCTTTTTCTTTTTGTTCTTTTAATATAAATACGGTTATATAATTATTATTTTTAAATTCAAATATTTAACTATATAACCCATACAATATATAACACATACAATGTTATATAATTATTATTTTTTATAAAGCATTTTATAAACATTTTTTTATGAAAAAAATATAAAAAGGTTTGTTAAATGTGAGTAAGGTTAATATATATTAGGTATAAAATTATTCATTTTAATATGATTAATATATAGTTTAATCAGAATTCAAAACAAGTGTCAAGTTATACAAAAACTAAACATTATCTGCATTACTCGAAAACGAATAAAATTTCTACAAAAAAAAAATTACAGTTTAGTCCACATCATTTCTCTCTCCGTTCACAAACCACCTCTTTTCGAGTTCCTTTTTGTTTTTATATTATTTTTTGTTTTTAGACATTTTTTTTTGTTTTTGGATTATACGGATTCCAATTAGTCTATGTATAACTTGACACCCGTTTCATATTACGATTAGCCTACATACTATATATATATATATATATATATATATATATATATATATATTAAAGTTGTGGAACAAAAGAACAGTAAACTTCACATATTTTGTCCAGGTTTAGTCCCTTCATTTACATATTTGACCCCTGTACTTTTGGTATTATTATTATTATAAGTTAGGTCATAAAAACCTCAATTTCTCATCCCGTCATACTTATAATTACTTCCCGATCCTTCCATCACCGCTTGCTTTATCCTCTCTCAAATCGACTCTCCTCCCTTTCTTCTACAGTCTGCTCCCTCCACTACCGACTGATCCGTCATGTTTCAGGATTACATCCCTGATCCTCACACAGTTGGCGTTGATCTCCTTCGGACGAGGGTCGGGGTTGTTATTCACCATCGGAAATGGAACAAATCTCCGATGATTGTTACCGATTTTGAATTTTCTATGTGATTGGTTGTTGGATCGGTGTGTTGCACCGGTAGCGGTGGAGAAGAAGACTTCGAAAGCTTTAACGGTTGTACACCACCACAGTCACCGGTCAGCTTGCTGAGTGGATTTCTTCTACAACTTTTCTTCCAGGTTCTGCTTCTAGGGTTCATCGATTCTTACTCTGTCACCCGCTTCACGAGTGAAACGCCGATCCCAGTTTCTATGATTCCTTTCTATTTGTTTCTAATTTTGATTGCTTTGGTTTTGTTTTCCAGGTTTTGATTGCAACTATCAATGATACAGATTGCAAATACCAGTGGGAACTCCTCGCCCCTACCAAAGAAGGTCAAATAAACCCTAATGTTTCTACGGTTCCATTCTATTTGTTTGTAATTTTAATATCTTTGGTTTTCTTTTCCAGATTTTGATTACAGCCGTTCACGATCAGAATGGTAAATTATCAGATTTTCAGAGTTAAGAATGACCAAAATAAATGTCGGTGTGATGCTTGGAATAATTTGCCTTTCTATTTTTTTAAACTTTGCTTTTTTTTCCTAAGAGTTTAAGATTAAAATGGATAATATCATATGTTTGCGTAATTAGTTACTATAAAGCAATGATAAGTTGTGTGAATGATAATATAAGAACTATTGTAATTAGTATTAGATGATGCAATCTATTTTTTAGAGTATATTATAGAAATTTCATTATGCTTTATTTTAACTCATTTAATTCTTTTAATCTTTTTTAAAATTTGTTTGCAGATTGATTTTCATATCCTAAAGCATTGGAAGAGATTGTCGACAAGTATATGGAAGACGATGGTAGGGAGGAAGTAGGATGATGAAGAAAGTAAACAACCTGTTTCAGCACCCAATAACTTCGCCATAATACAAGCCCATCCTGCGGTTACAAATTTTTTATATGTGTTTTATAGGAACTGAGATATGATTATATTTGTGGGTAAGCTTCAATGTTATTTTTTTATCTATCGTAGTCTTAATTTATAGGAGTTATTTTTGTCTAACCCAAAGCATAGTAGAAAACTTTGTTGTGTGCTTCAATTTTTTTTTTTTTTTTTAAGAATTGAAAGCCAAAGCCAAAGCATTGCAAGATTAAAGAGCTGCAAAAGAAGAAGCAACAGCAGCTATGGCAGAGAGTCAAAGAAAGGCTGTTGAGGCTTTGACTGTTTCCAAGGAAGTAGTCAAAGAAAGTCATTGGAGTTCATTGCAGGGAATGTAGTAAAACAGTTTAAAAATAAAAATTATAACTGGGACAAAAGAGAATGTGAGATGTGTTGTGTAGATTTTTTTTAACATAAACCAATTAGTGGATTAGCATAGGTATGTAACAGTTACCACAACATTACCAACAAATGTTTGCTTAATCACTTACGCAAACTCCAATGACTGGATTAGCGCAGGTATGTATGGTTGTAGTTATATAAGACTACAATTAAATTTGGATTATATATTATTAGTTTTAGAAAGTATTGTAATGTTGTAAATTGTAATTATTTGATATGTGCAGAATCAATTGTCACAGCCGCATGATTTGCAGGGTCAACATCAACAAAACAAAAATATCAGGTGATTGAATATAATGTTTTTAGGTTTATATTATAATATATTTGTTTAATACTAATAAAGTAGCTAATTGAAAAATGGTGACTGAAATTAGATCCTTGATTTGATTAACAAAACACATATATTTGACAATTTTACCCTTATAGTTAAAGTACGTTTTTCCTAATGGAATGGAATGGACCATTCCTAAAGAAAGGTGATTCATTCCATTTTGTTATTTTCATTGTCTTTTTTATTTCATTCCATCATTGATATAACCCTTATGTTATTTATCTGATTTTTAATGACACATCTTTTTGACAATTTTACCCTTATAGCTTAAAAGAGTAAAGTAGGTTGTGATTTCCTTCGATTTATCCTTGTAGTTAGGATAATGTATCGAATATAGATAAAATTATAAAATGTAGAATACCAAAACCAAAAACTACAACAGATTCACCTGCATATTCGTTACTTTTTAACCATTTTTTTTTTTGGTTTTCAGTCTACGGAGGTTGGCAATTTCAGTGACCTTTTGGGGGCAAATATTTATTGTTTGGATTCCGGGATATTTAATATTTTGACGATGATATCATATTACTTTTCGGTTTGTTATATGAATCTCAACAATATGTGAGTTTTGTTAATCTTCACACTTTTCCTTCCAAAATTTATCCCACAGCTTTAACGTTTTGTCATTTTCTCTCAAAACTTGACAGAATTCACAGGAAATTACAATCACAAGTAATCAGATCTTTTTTTATTTTTAAATAATACTAATTTCCAGTTTGTCTATCCACTTTGCAGCCTTCCCTACAACAAAGGTTAAAAGGATTTCAAGAGAAATTGGAGGTGTCATTTATGGATATTCAATCTTGGACCTTACATGGGAACCAATTCATTTCTGAAATAAGTTCTCAGCTCTAGGATTTCACATATGTAAGTTTTTAGTTATGGAAACTTAGTTATCCAATTTGCTTTAGGCTTCACTATCTGTAATTTTATGATATTGGTAGCTATAGTTTTTCCAAATGAAAATTTTATAATGTTTGCTTCCGATTTCTTGCTGATATTTTCCATGAATTGCAAAGTGACAACATCTTCTGTAAGGGGCTCAGCAGATTCGATATTCAAAGGTCATAAGACGATATGAAACCATTATCATGGCTGTATATCGTATCTCATTTTTTATGTAAAGAAATATAAGTACATTGCTATTATGAGAAAACTGGACAAATCTAAGTCCATTGTTGCTATGGGTAAAAAAAAAGGCAAAAACATCTGATCCGTGCAACGCACGGGCATCTTTCCTAGTTAATAAATAATTTTATACCTAATCTATAATAATCTTATTCATGTTTAATAAACCATTTTACTCTTATTTTTACAATAAATGTTTATAAAATGTTTTAAAAATAATAAATTATATAACTTTATATGTGTTATATTGTTAGATATTTGAATTAAAAAAACAATTAAATAACCTTTAAGTTAATTATATTACTAATTATGATTACACTAGCCATGAAATCTTTTAAAAATATAAACATACAAAACGTCAAAAAAAACATTAAAAATGTATTCGACTGAAATGTCAAAAAAATATAAGCGAAAAAAATGTATAAAAAACATTAAACAATCTATTGAACAAGATTGATAAAATGCTTTATAAAAAAAATAATCATATAACATTGTTTTATATAGTTAAATATTTGAATTAAAATATAATAATTATATAACCTTATATATATTAATAAACAAAAAAATAATAAAATATAATTGTAAGTGAATTATGTTACCAATTATGATTACATAAAAACCTTTCTAAAAATATAAACAAACAAAATACAAAAAGAACATTAAAAAATATTTTCGAACAAAACATAAAAAAAAGATAAAAAATTTTATTCGAATAAAAGGTCAAAAATAAATAAACGAAATATATATATATATATATATATATATATATATATATATATATATATATATATATATATATATATATATATCTATATATATATAATCAAAAAGTAAAAAAAAAATCACCAAGTGGGACTAGCCCACTTGGTAGAGGCTTTGCCTCTTAGATTGGAGGTCTCGAGTTCTATTCCAGGCGTTGACGGTTTCGTGATACTAACTGCTAACCACTAACCCTGCCGTTTAGAAAAAAAAAAAAATCGAAATCATAAAAAATATAAATAACTAAAATAAAGAACGATAATAAATAATATAAAATTTTACATAAATGGTCCTTACGATAGGAAGGAAAAATGTCATTTTACATGGGACCTAACAGAAATAGTTAATACTGTTAGCCAAAATGACCTCATGTGTTCATTTTAAACGTGAAAAAAAGACTTTATATGTCCAAAATTCCTCAAAAGAACCTGAAGTAGACTTTTTTTTTTTTTTTTTTTTTTTTTTTGCAAACCACATAAACCAAAAATATAATTTCGTCTTTATAAAATGATGACAAAATTTCACAAATGGTCCTTATGAATTTCATTTTTTTTTTTCCTAAAATAGTCTTTATGAAACTTTTTTTTGCATGGATGGTCCCTATGGAGCAAACCTTACACACCAGTGGTCCTATTAGTTTTTATTTTGTACCACTACTAGTCCTTTCGATTATGTAACGTCCCAAAAATTAAGATCAAAAATTTCGATTTTTATATTAATAAAATCATTATCCATGACAATATCATAGAACCATAGTGAAATCAGAGTATATCAAATAACATCCAAAAAGATCAGAGTCATGTAAAATGCAGAACAATGTGGTGTATAGGGATGTCAAAAAGTCCCGTGGGACCCCGCTCCCGTGGGGTCCCCGTCCCGTTTGGGGGAATTATTTTTAAAAAACCGGGGACGGGGACGGGGGCGGGGGCAATGTTAACCCCCGTTTTAATTTCGGGGGCGGGGGCGGGGGTAGGCAATCCCGTCCCGAAACCCCCATGGGGACCCCGTTAATAAATTACACATACATTTACATATATTAAATATATAAATATAATAAACAATAACATGATTTTGAACTTCCAAAATTCATCAAAAAAACATGTTTTTAAATTGTTAGTGTAATGTTTTTAAGATGTCATGACTTTTTTATTTTTAACATGTAAAATTCTGCTAAAAATAGTTATTTGTAACCTAAAAAATAGTTTCTTTTAGCCTAAATAACAACTTCTTTTAGCCCAAAAAAAGGCAGCCAAAATCAATCGGGGGCAGGGGAACGGGGGCGGGGCGGGGGTAATAAAGGGGATTCGGGGGCGGGGGCGGGGGTAGGAAGGCTGAACATTTCGGGGGCGGGGGCGGGGACGGGGGAACGGGAAAATTTCGGGGGCGGGGGCGGGGGATGCACTCCCCGTCCCGTTTGCCCCTGTTGACATCCCTTGTGTATGCAGTGCAGTCATCCCGAACTCTTCCCCTTCGAACCATAAGTACCTGAAACATAAACTGAAAACCGTAAGCACAAAGCTTAGTGAGTTCCCCAAAATACCACATACCATACGTATCAAACATATAATAGGCCCCGCCCGACATCGAGCCCCGCTCGGAACACATCTGTTAGTCATCAGGCCCCGTCTGGCATCGAGCCCGGCTAGGTATACGTACAAACACATAAACACATGCAAAAATCACAAATATAAAGAGATACAATATAATCATCAGGCTCCGCCCGATAAACATATCAGAAAACATACATGTAGAGTCACACAGACAACTAACATCCAAGGGTTGGGTTGTTCGCCCATTAAAGCGGTACGTGAGCTGGGTTTAGAACGTCATGAGATAGTTCTGTCCATATCCAGTGTGGGCGTTAGAGCATTGAGAGGACATTTACCTAGTACGAGAGGACCGGGAAGGACTCACCTCTGGTGTAAAAGTTATCGTGCCCACGGTAAACGTTGGGTAGCCAGGTGCGGAGCAGATAACTGCCGAAAGCATCTAAGTCGTAAGCCCACCCCAAGATGAGTGCTCTCCTATTCCAACTTCCCCAGAGCATCCGATAGCATAGCCGAGAGAGCAATGGGTTCTTTAAACATAGTGAGTAAACTCACCTCAAGCTGCTGAATCTCTCAAATAAAATCTCGATATGCTAATCCAAAAAATCCCCGCGCTAACACCATCAAATAATATCCAGTTAATAATTGGATCTCGACCCATAATCAAGAATCTAAATTACTTGTCCAACATCCAGGGTAAAAGACTATTTTACAGTTTTTTACTTGGCCCAAAACCAAGGCCCAACCCATTTGCTCAAAAGGCTCAAATTCCTAAATGGCATCCCAAGGCCCAATATGGCCCAACTTCCTAATTAGGCCCAAAAACCATCATGGACCTAAATCCATGAAAACGCATAGTCTATCAATGTCCCAAACTCGGAAGTCCAATGGCCCAATAAGGCCCAAACCCTAAAAGTCCAAAATATGGCCCAAACCCGTAAAAATCAACTGAAGGTCAAACTGCTGAGTACGCTAGGTGTACTCAGACTTACACTTAGCGTACTCCTTCTAGGGCCAGTACGTGCAACGTACGAGCTGGGTACGCCCCGCGTACTCCGCAGACAACCAATTCAACCCATTAAGCACTTAATCGGTTAAGCCATCAACCCAAACTCTCATATCTGATCCTAAATGGTGACTTAACACGAAAAGTTGGCAACTTTACTCCCATGCATGACTTAATGGGACCCAAAACTCAAAAAGAACCACATTAAGAATCCTAACACATGCATGGACCAAGATAACTCATAAAGGTTACATTTTTATGGACAAGGGACCTCAAAGGTGCTAAGATCTAACATTTATGGCTTCTGGAGTAGACCATAATCTCAAATATGGCTTAAAGGACCCAAAAATGCACAAATAACACCCTAAGTTGGATCTAGCATAAGGAACCATCAAGATGAGAGATTTTTACCTCGAATGGCTTGCTAAGATGAAGATGACTCTGGATCTACAAGCTCAAGCCACTCCCAAGCAACCTCCAAGTGTTCTTCTTGTTCTACTTCACCAAAAACACCACCAAAACTCACTTCCAAGCTCAAATCTCACAAATGACAATTAGGGTTTCGATTTTACGAAATAGAGAGATGGAGGTTGTTTATTAGGAGGTAGAAGGGTGTCATAAGTTGTTTACATAGGGCACAAACCCTAAAAATCATGGTTTGACCTTGCATTGTGTACACCCTGCATACTCCTACATACGCCCAACATACGTGGGTGCATTCGCGATCCATCATAGAGTACGCCCCGCGTACTAGCTAGGGACTAAACATGAGAGAAAGTTTTACATTAAGGGTTAAAAGAAACATACCAATAATCTCGAATGTTACATATTAACTATGTTAAAATTTTCAAGTTAAACTATGTGAAATTACCAATATATCTTTGATGATTTTTTTTTGTTTTATAAAAAAGACAAATTTTCACAAATGGTCAGTGGGCTCTCTCTCTCTCTCTCTCACACACACACATACACACCAGAAGATCCTCTCTCTCTCTCTCACGCATACACACCAGAAGATCATACTAACATTTATAACAATATAATGAGTGATCGAGCAACACTGCCTTTGTAACATCCAAATTTCCAAACCAAAATTTTCATTTTTAAATTCATAGAAAAACATTGCTCATAAAAACCATCTCAAGAAAATCAAAAATGTTAAATACAGATCATCATCAATATATAAGAGTGTCCCAAAATATCCGGAATCATAAACTGCAGGTGAATGTGTACAATCAAGTATTCGCCTTCCCGCGATCCTCAAAAGTACCTAAAACACATTTAATCAACAATTCTAAGCACGAAGCTTAGTGAGTTCTCCAAAATACCACATACAGTACTACACAAAATAAACATCTATGGGTTATCAACAACCCTGGAGACTACCCAAAGTCTCAGTGGACAAACAGCACGCCCTGTGGGTTATCATCAACCCTGGACACTACCCGAAGTCTCAGCATACATAGTAACACATATCATAGTAATAACACATAAACCTAGCTGGTCATCACATATATAGATATATTCTACCACACATGTAATAATAGTGAGGATATTCACCTCGCACAAATGACTGGTAGAACTCACACCCCAACTGTCGGAATTAGACTCCGCCTAAAATTACACCAATTAACCCTAATTAATAATGAAGGTAATTTTCCATACTCCACTAATCCCAAGACAAGCCTAATACACATCTATGGAAAAAGACCTTTTTGCCCCCTCAAAAACCCTTACAAATACACGAAAGTCACAATTAGTCCAAAAGGCAAAGAAAGTCAACATGTAACAGTTCGCACGAC